AGCTTTAGGTAAATGTACACTAGATTCAAATTCGTAAGTACTACTTTCTACTACTTATACTTGATACTAATTTCTAAATGACTTTACTAGGAGTGTTATTGAGATCTTTACAACAGAAAGCGAAAAGTAAGTGTTGAATAATTTAATTAATTAACGAAATTTATTAACTGTACAAATAAAACAGGTCAATTAGTGAGCCTGTGTGTAGGATCCAGCAACAGAATGATAAATTGTAGTCAAACGTAAGTATACTATTACTTTATCATATATAACATTTTTAACCTTGTCTATCTTGATTTAAAACTCTTAGTCTTAGTCTTAGCTTCATCTATCTTGAATTCACGTTTTCTATTTATCAATCCTTGATATACTGTTTTAACTTGTATGTGTATAGGTTTTCCCTCCAACTGAATATGAATTCTAATATGTCCTACTTTTAGCTTGCTAACAGATTTTAGTATTTAGTAGACACAATCTGTATAGAAGTATATATAGATCTGCACATTCTGTTTGTACTTCTGTAACACATGTCATGCTATTGTTTTAAATATGAAGTCTTAGTACTTTACAATTTTAATCTTCTGTGTAACTCATTCTTTTATTAACTTGAAAACTTTTTTTAGGATAGAAACAGATGTATAGTTAGAGATTGATCTTCTATAGCTATTGTGTGTATATGTTTTGTATACTATTGTATGTAAATCAGAGTAACTTGTTTCCTTATATATTCCTTATACTTTGTCTAAATATTTGTTAATAGTAAAGTTTTGTACTTTATATCTGTATTTTTGATTTAACATTAAACTGTATCTTGATCCCTCATATAAAGAGACTCAAAAGTTCTGTCAGAATTTGCAGACATAGTAAAGGTTCTAACAAGAGAAATAGGATGGTAAGAGAAATGAGAATAACAGTATAGTAGTATTCAACCTAATTTAGTTTTTTTTTAAGTAAGAGTTAGTATAATTAAGTAGATTGTATAGAGTTAGAGTCTGATTCTAAGTCAGAGACAAGTAGTGCCTGTATTTGTTAATGTGTCTTACAGCTTGCTAATGTTCAATTGTGACCCCTTTTTTTCTTCAGGAAATAGTTATTATTATAGGAGATTACTCTCTATAAAGTAACACTTATAGAACAGAGCCCTACAAGTCTGATTAGAGTTATAAAACACTGTTGTACAGAATTGTAGATCTGTTCTCAACATTCCTTCAATTCTGATTCTAGCTCATTTGACTATATTTTAATCTACTTACCTTATGTGTCTTTACTAACACTTGTAATACTAACTCTAAAGCTAGCAAGGGTAGTAGTAATACTGTTAACTAAAACTAAAAGTAGAAGATTGAAGAAAAGAAATTAAGTAGCTAGGCAGAAGGAAATACTAACTAAAGTTAATATTCTTAATCTTTAAGTCTTTGTTCCCTGTATTTTGTACTACTAAATGTTATGAACAAGATTTATTTAATATGTTTGTAAATGTAAGGAGACAATGATTTAATAGTAAGATACAAGAGATTCTTGTATTTCTTTATAGTATTATATATATTAATGGTAGGGATTTATTAATAATCTCTTATTAGTTCATACTACAGTTTACTCTCTTTAATTAGAATTATAACAAGTAGTAGTATCTTATTAAAATAAAATACTTAGTATTAAGGGTTCTCAATCTTACATTATTAGTATATGACTGAATCATATACTCTTAATATTTATATGACTTGTACTTGTATTTGTATTTTCTCTCTATTACAGCTTGTATATTACAAATTATATTACATTATTATTAAGTATCTTCTTTAACTTTTACAGAATTGTATATGTAGTTTACCTCTTAAGTAGTACTTTATAGTATTCTCTGTTTCTACTGTACTTAGTACTATCTTCTACACTCTTCAGCCTGTAGACTCTTAACTAGTAATACTCTACTTATTATTAGGGGAGATGTGTTCTCTAGGTTGATAGTACTCTCAAACTGTAAATGTAGACCTGCAGCCCTTAAACCAACTATATTCCCAAAGCTACTAGCTAGGATTTATACTAGGAGAACAAGTAGGAATACAAGAAGAGTCAAAAAACTAAGGAACTACTGTATCTACAGGCTGCTTTTTATAATAACTAAATAACAAGAGTAAAGTAAGGAATGAAACTTGAGAATAAGATCAAAGAAATAATAAGAACAATTATCACAAAGCTAACAGGTGTATTAGAGGCCAGGAAGTGTTGTGTATCAGAGAATATAGGCTAAGAGGCTATTGTACAAAAGAGGCACAAGTTACTATATTAGGCAAGAAATGGATTGGCTGTGTTGTAAAATGAGTACTCATTTCCTTACAGTCCTAACACTTATACTATAACTGTTACAACTCAAAAACAGCCTTGTAAATTATGAGTATAAGTATTTTATACTATACTTGAGTGACTTACTCTTCCTAATACCCTTTCTTAATAACTACTACTGTAATACTTATAGAGTACTTATATAAATACTTTAATAATAATAGATACTAGTTTGTTTAGTATTCTAATTGTAAGACACAAGCCCTCTCTAAGTCAACCAAATAGTTTCTCCTACACTCTCTGATTATATCCCTAATGTTAAGGTGGAGAATAACTTGTATATTTGTGGAACAGACACTAATACAACTGTTATAGCTAAACTAGAATCAGTTACTAACTCAGACTTGTACAATGATCTTACTCAAAATACTAACTATCTAAAACCTTGTTCAGAACACTCTTATCCTGTAATAGAATAGGACCTACTAGTAATATATACAGTAAAAAACAAGGAGTCTCTATACAGGATATGTGAGCTTAGTATTATTAGAATAATAGAGTTACTCAAGTTTGCTACCCTAGAAATGTTTACTTGGATTGAGACAGTCATTATTGTGTGAGTCCTTAACTTCTTTCTACTTTATCTTTTGCTTTCTCTTCTTCTTTACTGTCTCTCTTTCTCTTTTCCTTTCTTTGTTCCTTTCTTAAATATAACATACTTATTTCATTATATTAGAAATAGTATTCATAGTTCAGATAGTAATCCTTACTACCATCTTTTAATTTAATGTTTCTCTAAGGAAGAGTAGGTTTGTTCTATACATCTGCTAGTTACTTGAGAAAATAATGTAAGTCTTATAAATACTTCTTTTTATTTTTCTAATACAAATGAAATGTAGAATTTTGACTTCCTTAAGGCTACAGTCAGTTATTAGTCACAGATAGAATTTAGATTAGACAAGCTTTCAGACTTTTTGTAACTCTTCCTTTTACTAGATACTGAATATTGAGACTATATAATGATACACTAATCCTTGTTACTCCTTGTCTGACTCTCTTGCCTCACTATCTCCCTAACCATCCACTCTATAGTAGTACAAGCTCATTAATATTATTTCTGTTTTCCCTAGTCTAGTCCTCTGTTTGTAAGAACCTAGACAATACACATTACTGTACTTGTCTCTCCAATCTGTTGTTACAATGTTTGTACTGAGTCTCAGATCCTGTAAAGATACAACCCAGCTTACTACATTACTTTCAAATTAAAGTGTAAGCAGCTGGTCCACTTCATAATAATCTGTATAATAGTTACCCATCCCTCTCTACACAACCTTTTGTCTCCTTTCCATCCCTCCCACTCTGCACTCTACTAGTTGTGTTGCCTCTCCTTTGTTGTCCTCCTTTCCCCCCTTTTTACACTCACGTTCGTGTATCCACATTAAAGACTAATACAGAGTAGCTCCTTCAATAATTCTATGTATTTGTGTGCTTCTTCCATGCTCCAGCACAGACAATAATAATGTTGTGTCTACCATATCTTATCTCAATTAAGATGACCCTTTTGTACATGTTGTACTTAAGTATGTATAGCTGGAAGTTGTCTGAGCAAGAGACAAACCGGTTTTTGTAAGGGATAAAGTGTACACATCTAGCAGGTACTTTAGCAATCTTTGCGAATGATTGAATCAATCCTTTTCTGCACTTCTTTTGAATGCCACGTCTCCTAGCGTCTCTCCATCATTGTCTGCTGTTACTTCACCTTCTAAAGTCCAATGGCTATCAAGAAACACAGCAAATCAAAGAAATCGAGACGACCAGTTGTCATTCTTGACAGAGGTGGCTCAGACCTTACATCAAACATTCCACTTGGTCGATCTTCTTCAAGCACGACTGGGCCATTAACACGACACTACAATGTTTTTCTAGGCTCCAAGTTGAAAGTACGAGCACGAACGCATACAACGTTTGAAAAGGGTGGTACAGGGTTTACAGATACTCATCATAATGATAGGCTCTCCAGCTTCAATCATAGCATGCATTCAAGCAGCTACAACACAGACATGAATTATCTCTTTGATGACAATTCTATCACTGAATCTTTCAATGATAGAGTAGAGGACCCACTCTCTGGTGTAGAACCACAATACTTTGAGCCAGAGGAACTTTGTAATTCTGGGTTTTGTCCTGTTGACTCAGAAAACAAGGTTAGTGACAATGAAAACACTAATGCCTCTCATAAATCACACAAAGTAAGTGATTTATATTATTTGCAATGTCTAATCAAGTTATGACTCGCATGATACAGGGAGACATAC